GCTCCACGTGCAAGGCTGAGCCTACCAAGAGCCCATCACCTTCTCCCCCTCTCCCTGGCTTTGCAGAGGTGGGAGATTTCCTGTCGCTGGACCTGGGCGGCACCAATTTCCGTGTGATGCTGGTGAAGGTGGGCGAGGGGGAGGAGGGGCAGTGGAAGGTGAAGACGAAGCACCAGATGTATTCCATCCCGGAGGATGCCATGACTGGCACGGCTGAGATGGTCAGTGGAGCACACAGGGCATCCCATCCCATCCCATCCCATCCCAGTCCCTTTCCTTGTGTGTGTTTCAGTGGGAACACTTGAGGGGACACACCCATTCCCATTCATCCAGCCAGCAGAAACTGGGGGGTGGCCAGGCCTGGGGAACCCGTGGGTGGGGACATCCCTTGGGAAAGGCTGGACCTCCTGTCTTCCAGCTCTTTGACTACATCTCCGAGTGCATCTCTGATTTCCTGGACAAGCACCAGATGAAGCACAAAAAGCTGCCCCTGGGCTTCACCTTCTCCTTCCCTGTGCGGCACGAGGACATCGACAAGGTGGGGGGGTGTGCGGGCAGCACGAGGGCTCAGGGCTCCCCGAACCTCAGCTACACCCACAGCCCCATTTTGGTGTGACCCCCCCTTGCAGGGCATCCTCCTGAACTGGACCAAGGGCTTCAAAGCCTCCGGCGCGGAAGGGAACAACGTGGTGGGGCTGCTGAGGGACGCCATCAAACGGCGAGGGGTGAGAGGATCTCACTGTGCTGGTTCCCCATGGCACCCCGGCTGTGCCTGCCACAGGGCCACTGCAGCCTGCTGTGTCCCCAGGAAGGGACCACTGGAGCACAGCTGTCCCCACCACGGGCTGCTGGAGCTGAGTGTGTCTCTGGGCAGGGCTGTCCCATATGTGTGCACACACGTGTGCATGACACGTGCCCAGGCCCTTGCCCTTGGGGACCATCCACCCCAAACCTGCCTGTTGTGGGACAGCCTGGCCCCCCAGGAGCCCACCATGGTCCCTGTCCCCAGGACTTCGAGATGGACGTGGTGGCGATGGTGAATGACACGGTGGCCACGATGATCTCCTGCTACTACGAAGATCACCGGTGCGAGGTTGGGATGATTGTGGGTAAGATGCCCCTTCTACAGGGACACGTGGCTGGGCACGGGACTGTCCATGGGCCCGCTCCCCTGCTGCTCCCCCTTCCTTTTGGGGAGACACACCAACCACAGGGGTGTGGCAGTGGCACTCTGCTGAGGTGTCCGGTGGCTGGGACACCCGATGGCATTGCCTGGCCTCAGCGTGGTGGCTGGGGCACTTTGGGAGTAGAAAGGGGGTGGTCATCATAACAGGGCTGGTCCCCAAAGGGCTGCCCTGCCTCCAGGCTGTTGGTGGCTCTGGCCTGTGTTAGTCCCTACCACCCTCACAGGGAAGGATTTCTTCCCAGTATCCAATCTGAATCTCCCCTTTTTTAGTCTGAAGCCTTTTCCCCATGTCCTGGAGCCACCCTTGAAGTCACCAGGCTGGGGAACGTCCCTCAGACTCCACACGGGTCCCAACCCCTGTCCTGGCACGTCTGTACCCCCTCCAGTTCTTCCCCATTGCTCCAGAACACTATCCCAGTTTTATCCCAGCTGGGATGGGAGGGCTGTGGTGGGGGGTGTCCTTGCTGCCCCCCTGCCCAGACCCATCCCCAGTTCCTGGCAGGGACGGGCTGTAACGCCTGCTACATGGAGGAGATGCACAACGTGGAGCTGGTGGAGGGCGACGAGGGGCGGATGTGCGTGAACACGGAGTGGGGGGCCTTCGGTGCCTCGGGGGAGCTGGACGAGTTCCTCCTGGAGTACGACCGCGTGGTGGACGAGACCTCACTTAACCCCGGTCAGCAACTGTAAGGAATAGGAGAGATCCAGTTCCTCTGGGCGTCCCTCCCACCCCCTGCGCCGGGCTCAGCCCCCAGCCCCGGCGTCCTCCGCCCTGGGCCATGCCCACGTACGGGAACACATCCAGCGAGGATGGGGGAGGAAAGAGGGGGTGCTGTGGGATGTGACTCCTCAAATCCCAGCTCTGATGCCGCCCCCTCGCCTGTGTCCCCCCCCCGCAGGTACGAGAAGATCATTGGGGGGAAGTACATGGGGGAGATCGTGCGGCTGGTGCTGCTGAAGCTGGTGGACGAGAACCTGCTCTTCAATGGGGAGGCCTCTGAGAAGCTCAAGACTCGTGGGACCTTTGAGACCCGCTTCATGTCCCAGATTGAGAGGTACGAGGCTGGGGGTGGCACCCCCAAACCACCTGCCAGGCTGCATGGCACTGGGAGCTCTGTACTCTCACTCCACACTGGTCCAGGCATACTGAGGAGTCTGTGCTCTCGCTCTGCACTGGGCTGTCCCACAGGGGATCCCCCTGTTCCATCATCCCATACCAGTCTGCTTTGACTGCCTCATTTTGGGGTCCTTTAACCTGTTACCCCACACCAGTCTACTCTGACTGTCCATCTTGGAGTCCCTGCATTGTGCCACCCAAACCACAGTGTCCCCTCTCATAGGCCCATCATGGTTCCATCATTCCGTACCTGCCTGCGCTGTCCCATATTGGGGTCCCCACATCCCATCACCCCACATTAGGGGGGCCCACTTCCAGGTCCCTCTGTCCCATCACCCCACACCAGCCCTCTGCAGCAGTCCCATGATGGGGTCCCCCTTCCCATCACCCTACACCAATCTGCTCTGCTCTGACTGACCCAGTTGGGGTTCCCCGTGCTGGGACCCCATACAACTGTCCCGTGTGAGGATCCCCCATCCCTCTCCAGCTGCCTCACCCAGGGTCCCCCCATTCCCACCTTTGCTGACCCCCTTTTCTCCCCCTCCCTCAGCGATTCTGACGACCGCAAGCAGATCTACAACATCTTGTCAGCCTTCGAGCTGCTGCCGTCGCGGACGGACTGCGAGATCGTGCGGCGGGTGTGCGAGAGCGTGTCCACGCGCGCCGCCCAGATGTGCTCGGCCGGGCTGGCCGGCGTCATCAACCGCATGCGGGAGAGCCGCAGCCAGGACACCCTCAAGATCACGGTCGGCGTCGACGGCTCCGTCTACAAGCTCCATCCCAGGTGGGGATCCCCAGACCCCGACGACATCCCCGTCCTCTCCCTTGGCCCCGCGAGCCCTGACCCCATCCGTGAGCCCGCGTTCTCGCTCCCCAGCTTCAAGGACCACTTCCACGCCACGGTGCGGCAGCTGACGCCCGGCTGCGACATCACCTTCATCCAGTCCGAGGAAGGCAGCGGGCGCGGGGCCGCCCTCATCTCCGCCGTGGCCTGCAAGATGGCCTGCATGATGGGGCAGTGAGCTGGACTCAGGGGGGATGGCGGGGCCGGTGCTCCTCCCGGAGCGCTGTGGGAGCAGACACGGCCGCGGGAAGGAGGCGGCTCCGGCCCCCAATAAACGGGGTGTGTGTGGACTTCTCTGGGGCCGCTTGGGCCAGTGCTCCTCTCTCTCCGTGCTGGTAGAGAGACCCCCATGGGGCTGCCCCACACGTATGGGGCGGCCAAGGAGCTTCCCGTGCCCTCACCTCCCTCCCCCATAATCACACAGCTGCAGCAAGGGGGGCTCCACTGCACCCCAGCCCCTTTGCTGGGAGAAAGCCCCCCCAAGGAGGTGGCCTAGAGATAAGGAGCTCTTTGGGGATACTTGGGGGGGGTGTCAGGGTGGAGGAGCTCCCCAGCAGTGATCCCTGGGGTGCAGAGGCTGATCAGAGTGCACCAGAAATGGGCCAGATCAGATGGAGGGGGGCATACTGGGGGATCCCCTCCAGCTACGTGCCCATCCATGTTCCCTGAAAGGTGTGGGACACCCCAGAAATTTGAGTTCACCAGAGGGTCTGGAGCAGAGTATTGGGGTCCCTTTGGGGTTCATGGGCAGCCCAGGGTGTGGGTGTTCCTTTAAGGATCTGGCAGTACCAGAGCATAACCATGGTTCTCTGAAGGCTCTGGAAGCAACCCAGGGTTTTGGGCCACTCTGAGGGTCTGGAGCACCCCAGGCTGGAGGGGTCCTCCTGGGCACCACAGGGTGTTGGGATCCCCTTGGGGGTTGGGGGCACTCCGGGGTCTGGGGCCCACTCTGGGTGTTGGGGTCAGCCTGAAGGTATGGGCCATCTTTATGGTCTGGGGTTGTATCTGTGATATTTGGAGCCACTGCAGGGGTCTGGGGGTCCCTGGGACACGGGGACACCTGGGATCTAGGGACATCTCAGGGTGCTGGGGCAACTCTTGGGCATCCGGGACCACCTGGGGGGAGTGGATCACCACAGGGTGTGGGGCTGGGACCACCAATGGATCTCGGTGTCCTCAGAAAGTGTAGGGTCACATTGAGGGGCTGGGGACACAGGGGGTGTCTGTGTCACCCCAAGGTGCCCCTGAGGGCCCCAGGGGTGGCACTGGGACCCCCAGAGCTCCCCATTGCAGGTGGCACTGGGATCCCTCTGCTCTGCCCTCGGCCTGCAGGATTCCCTGCGCTCTGATTGGTTCACACCACAAAGACATCCTGGAGCTCTGATTGGTGGCAGCTCTCAGAGCCCTGCAGTCTCTCTGTTCTGATTGGCTGGGAGCAAACAGAAGAGATTCCCTGCACTCCAATTGGCTGGAATTAAAGGAAAAAAAAGGGGTGTGGGATTCCCTGTGCTCTGATTGGCTGGGACTGAAGCAGGGGTGCCCTGTGCTCAGGTGGGACATGAGGAGGATCCCAAGCCCACAGCAGCACCGGTGACAAGCGGGTCACAAGTGACACTGCCAAGTGCAGATGCAGTGCCAGGCACGGGGTGCACAGGGAGGGGACAGTGACAGCCAGCACCACCCGGGTGTGTGAAGGGAATGCTCACCCCAACCCACATGGGACACATCCCCACCCTACTGCTGGCACCTTCGGTGTCACCTTGGCCCTGCTGGGGCCAGGCTGTCCACTGCCAGTGCCTGGTGCCATTCACCTTGTCACCATGTCCCCCCAGGCAGACAAACAAGACCCTGGAGCCAGAGGAGGGACTTTATTGTGGGGGGGGATGGCTGGGCTGCAGGGGCATCGGGGTTTGTGGGCACTCGGGGCTCAGCCTGTGGAGAAAGGAAAGAGCAGCAGGTGTCAGGGGCCAGTGGAAACAGCTGCTCCAGCCCTCACCCTGCTCCACAACGCACTGTGGGGTGACCTGGCTCACCCCCACCCTACAGAGTGCAGCAGGGAAGCTTCAGAAACCCCAAGCACACTGCCACCCCTCCGGCAGGTGTGGGCTGAGGGATGCGGGGTGTAAAGTGTGGGATGCAGAGGGGGGATACGGGATCAGGACGTGGCGTGCAGGACGGAGGGTTCAGTATCAGGATGTGGGGTGCAGGGTTCAAGACACAGTGCAGGATTGGGACATGGGGTGCAGGATCAGGATATGGGTGCAGGATGTGGGTTCAGGAGCAGGCTGTAGGGGACAGGGCACAGTGCAGACAGGGGGTGTGGGACTGCCATGCAAGGTGCAGGACATGGTGCAGGATGCAGGATCGGGATGTGGGGTGCAGGACACAGGGTAGGGCACAGGGGGTATGGGATGGGGATGCAGGATGCGAGGTGCAGGACACAGGATGCAGGATCAGGATGCAGGTGGGCACTGACCGCGCTCAGGACTGGCAGATGCCCATGGCACTGCACATGTCCCGGGGCGTGTCCCCGTTCTGCAGCCCCTCGGTGATCTGCTCCTGGTAGTTCTTCACCAGCTTCTGGCACTCCTTGCCCAAGGCCCTGCCCAGCTTCCGGCAGCCCTTCTGCAGCGCTGCTGCCACCGCCGACTGCCAAAGCCACCGCGGGTCAGGGGGCCACAGGGAGAGGCCCCCCAGCCCGGCCCCCCAGCCCCTCATCACCCCTCACCTCGTCAGGGTTGTCACCTGCCAGCTTCTGTATCCTCTTCAGGACCTTGGTGCACAGGCGGCACTTAATGACCCTGTGCTGTGCCACGCTGTCCCCATCAGCCGTGTCAGCCACGTTGTCCCCATCAGCCACGTTGTCCCCATCAGCCACGTTCCCCTGTGGGCACACACAGACGCTCAGGGCTGCCTGCACCCCTGGGTGGCCCTGGCAGTGCTTGGGGCTGGGGTGCTCACCAGGGCCAGGCTGTCACGCAGGTGCTGGCACTGCTGCTCCCAGCCACAGCGCGTGGCCGTGGCCGTGTCCCAGCACCACGAGCTGGGGTCACCCTGGCAGGGCGGGGGGGCCGTGGCCTGTGCTGCTGCATGGGGACAGGGTGGTGAGCGTGGCTGCAGGTTGGGTGCCCATCACGGAGGTACCCGGACACTAAACCAGCAGCCCCAGGTACTCAGCCCCAGCCCCACCATCCCTCCTGCCTGTACTCACATCCTTCTGTTGTAGACCCTATCCCCAAACGTCCCCAGGTCCCAACGTGGGCATCATGCCCATCATCCCTGGGTCCTCAGGCAGACCCCATCCCTGCCACCCCCAGGTACTTGTACCCATCAGACCCCATCCCTGCAGGCCCCCACCACCCCTCCTGCCTGTCCCCTTGTCCTCCTCCCCACACCCCTGAGTGCCTGAGACCCCATCCCTGGCACACACAGGTCCCCACACAGACCCTCCCCACAGCCCTGAGTGCCTGTCCCCACACAGACCCCATCCCCACCACACACAGGTCCCCACACAGACCCCAGCCCCCCGAGCTCAGTCATCCAGGCTGCCATCCATTGTCCCCACGTGTCCCGTCCCCTCCACTCGGGGTGCCGGTCCCCCCGGGGAGGCAGGAGGCTCCCGTTACCTCCCAGCAGCAGCAGCAGCAGCAGCAGGAAGGAGGCAGCCATGGCGAGCCCGCAGCCGGTGACAGCAGGCGACTGGCCCTGGGTGACTGCTACGTGTGACACCTTTTATAGCGGGGCCGCGGGTGGGAGACCGAAACCCCAAAACCCCTGAAAACCCAACACGGCTGCTCCCCGGGCCCTTCCTGCCTCACAGCTCCACCCCGCAGGAAGGGGGAGCGGGGGGGACACGGGGGGCTCAGCACCCCCAGCCTCGCCCCCTCAGGGACGCTGCCCGTAACCAAGGAGGGGCGGGGAGAGCCTGGCCGGACTCCCGAGGGTCTACCGGCGGGTCTGTCCCGGCTCCTCCCGGGACCCCTCTGGGCAGCGCAAGGGCTCGGTGTCCCCTCCGGGGTCGGTCACGGTGCGCCCTTCACCCCATGGGTTCCGAGCGGCCCCGGGCCGGTGGCGGTGTCCCGGTGTCCCGGTCCCTCGGTGTCCCGTTTTCTCGGTGTCCCGGTCCCCGCCATGTCCCCCCACAGCGTTTCTCGCGGCCGCTCTGACGTCATTTCCCCGCGCGGCGCACAACTTCCGTCTTTGCGGCGTTCGCGCCTTTTCCCGCCGCGGCCCCGCCCACCATGGCGGGCCCCGGTACCGGCGGCGACCCTCGGCCTGTGACCCCTCACCCCGCACGGACCGGCCTGTGACCCCTCACCCGGTACATGATCGGCCTCTGACCCCTCACCCCGTACGTGCCCGGCTGGGGGGAGCTGTGCGGTCTGCAGCCTGAGGGGGCCTGGGGGGGCTGTCGTGTCCTCGGGGGTCCCGGTGCCGCCGGTAGGAGCGTGGTGCCGGGCCGAGTGTGTTTGCTGGGGGCTGTGCGCGGCCCGCTGGGGAGAGCGGGACCCGGGGTGTGCTCTGGAGGGGATGGTGCGGTCAGGATGAGTTCGGGATGCCCTGGGTTGCAGGAAGGGGCCTGAGGGGTGCAGCATGCAGGGGAAGGCTCGGACCCGGACGTGGTTTGCATTTTGGGGCGGGAATGGCCATTTTCAGGGGGCTGTTGTGTCTCGGGCCGGATCCTCAATTCGCCGGTTTGTTTTCCAGAGCCGTGGTTAGACCCGAGCCCCGGAGGATGTTCTCGGAGCAGGCGGCCCCCACGGCACAGGGGCTGCTGGCCCCCCCGGCGGGCGAGCCCCCCACCTTCCCCCGGGTGGCGGCGGGCGGGTACTCGGACTGCTCGCAGCCCTTCCAGCTGGGCGAGCGCAGCTTCTGCCGGCAGTACGCGCACATCTACGCCGTGCGCCTGGCCGCCATGCGGCCCCGCCTGGAGCGGCGAGCCCGCGGCCGATGGGGTGAGCGGGGAGAGAGCGCTGCCGGGGGGAAACACTGCCGGGGAAAAGGGGAACGCTGCCCCGGGGAAAACACTGCCGGGGGAAAGGGGAACGCTGCCGCGGGGAAACACTGCCAGGGGAAAGGGGAGCACTGCCCTGGGGAAAACACTGCCAGACAGGGGAAAGGGGAGCACTGTCCCAGGGAAAACACTGCCGGGGGAAAGGGGAGCACTGCCCCGGGGAAAACGCTGCCAGGGGAAAGGGGAACACTGCCCCGGGAAAACACTGCTGGGGGAAAGGGGAACACTGCCCCAGGGAGAACACTGCCAGGGGAAAGCACTGCCCCAGGGAAAACACTGCCAGGGGAAAGGGTCTGCCCCAGGGAAAACACTGCCGGGGGAAAGGGTCTGCCCCAGGCAAAACACTGCACTGGAAAAACACTGCCAGGGGAAAGGGGAACACTGCACCAGGGAAAACACTGCACTGGGAAAACACTGCCAGGGGAAAGGGGAACACTGCACCAGGGAAAACACTGCCCAGGGGAAAGGGAAAACACTGAGAAAAACACTGGTAGGGGAAAAGGGAAACACTCCCAGGGGAAAGGGGAAACCTGCACTGGGGAAACACTGCCCCAGGGCGAAAAACACTGCCGGGGAAAAGGGGAAACACTGAGTAAAACACTATCCCAGGGAAAATACTGCCAGGGGAAAAGGGGAAACCTGCACTGAGAAAACACTGCCAGGGGAAAAGGGGAAACACTGAGAAAAACACTGTACCAGGGAAAACACTGCCAGGGGAAAGGGAAAACACTGCCCCAGGAAAAACACTGTACTGGGAAAACACTGCCCAAGGAAAGGCACTGCCCAGGGAAATACTGCCTTGGGGAAAACACTGAGGGTCTGGAGTCCAGGGGTGGGGACAAAGTTGCAGCAGCAGGAGCGGTTGAGGGGGCTCAGGCTGGAGAAAAGGAGGTTTGGGGGGAATTTCTGGCTCTCCACAATTTCCTGGCAGGAGGGGGCAGCCAGTGGGGGCTCTGCTCCCAGGGAACAGGGACAGAACAAGAGAACACGACCTGAAATTGCACCAGGAGAGGTTCACGTTGGATATTGGGAAAATTCCTTCATGGAGAGGGCAGTCCAGCCCTGGCACAGCTGCCCAGGGCAGTGCTGGAGTGCCCATCCCTGTGGGGAAATAATGGCTGTGTGAATTTGGCACTTGGGAACACGGGTTAGGGGTGGCCTTGGCAACCAACATGTGTGGAGCTGCCTTTGGATTTTATCTGTGTGTTTGACCAGATTTGTGTCTGGAATCCAGAGGTGAGTGTTCCCCAGGCTGGATGTACCCTGCAGGCATCCCTGGGGACAAAATCCATCCCTGTTGGGGGGAGTCCATCCCTGCCAGGCTGGGATCCACCCAGAACCTTCCTGCAACCCGAGCAGCTCCAGTGTACCCAGTTGTGCCAGTCCCCAGCATCGTTTTACCCTTGACACGGGTGTGCAGCAGAGCAAGCAGCTCAGCCCCCCAGCTCTGGCATGCACAGGAATGATGGGATAACCCACTGGATTTTGGGGTAATCCTGCTGCAGCTCCCACCGGGAGTGCTGACCTTGGGACAAGCCATCACAGATAGCAGGGGGGTGTGTGCAGGGAGACCACGGTTGCCACATTGCCCCACACGCTTTAGGGAGCAGGAGCTGAGCGTGACCTTTGTCAGGCTGGGGCTGTGGGGCCCAGGCCAGGAAGTGGGGCACAGGGGGGTGAGAGGTGCTGGGGGGGCTGTTTCCTGCCTGGGGGGGTGCTGTGGTTCTGCGGGTGGGACCCTCGTGCTCAGAGTTTCCATCCGCGGGATGAAGCAACGCTGCTGGGGCTGTGCCCCCCCTCCCCAGCCTGGGCACGGCCTGAGATCAAATTTCCTTCAGCTTTGCCCTTCTATGGGCAAAATCCCCTTCAGTGGAAGCTTTTGGGCCGGACGCCTGTGCTTGTGCTCTCCCCAGCCCCCTGGGTTTGTGGAAGCAAAGCCAGTGCTGGTCCCACTGCGGATGTCGTTCCTTGGTTGGCCACCCTGGGCTTGGCCAAGTGTGACAGGACCCAGTGGTTTGTAAACTCCACCTCCTGGAGTCCTGGGATGGGACCAGATTTTGGGGTTTGTCTCCCAGCAGGAAGCGCCTGCAGGCAAAAATGTGGAGAGCACAACCCCCTCCCCCCAAACACACATTTTGGGGAGTTTGAGCCAAAAATAAGAAACTTCAACAGGATTGTTTTTGTTCTGACTCAGAGTGTTTGCATTCCTGGGCTCGGGAATCCATGTTTCCAGTGTGGGGTGCCAGGGATGGCAGCGGGGTGCTCTCCCTGGGACAAGAGGCACGTTCAGCAGCGCGTGATGAGCAAAGTGGGATTTTTGGGAGGAGAAGTGTCACCCAGAAAGGATGAGGAGCTGGTGCAGGCAGTGTTGTTTTGGGAGAGGAGACCAGCAGCAGGTTCCTCACTCTTCTCCAGGGCCTCAGGCTCAGGGTGGACTTCACAGGCTGGTTTAAGCAGGGAATGACAGTCCCACAGCCCCATACTGGATGGGAGGACACGCACTGGATGGGGCTGGAGCACCTCTGGGTCCCCAGTTTTGGGCTCACCTTGTGATGAGGGAGATTTTTGCTCCTCAGCCACAAGGTGGATGCAGCTGGGGCTGTGATGCTTCTTGCAGCTCCCGAGGTTCTCCCTGCCTGCATCCCCTGTGGATCCCTGCCTAAAGCCCAGGGACCTGGCAGCATGCCAGGACCTTCTCTGGAAGTGATGGGGATCCTAAATTCCAGTAGGGATCTGGGGCAGAGGATCTGGCCCTGGCAGAGATCAGGTTTGGGGGGGTGAGTGATCTCCTGCCTGTCAGCTCCCAGTGAGATGTTGGGTCATCCCCTGGGTGGAGAGCAGGAACAGCAGCCCCCCGTGCCCAGGGTGCATCCTGGGCCCTGGAACAGCAGCCCCCATGCCCAGGGTGCATCCTGGGCCCGGGAACAGCAGCCCCCATGCCCAGGGTGCATCCTGGGCCCTGGAACAGCAGCTCCCTGTGCCCAGGGTGCATCCTGGGCCCTGGAACAGCAGCCCCCATGGCCAGGGTGCATCCTGGGCCCTGGAACAGCAGCCCCCGTGCCCAGGGTGCATCCTCGGCCCTTCCCAGGCAGAGCTGTTGGAGCTGAACACACCATCGTGACCCAGCTTTCCCCCCAGCACAGAGGAAATGCCTGCAGGCTTGCAGGCTCTGGAATGCTCCTCGGCCCCATCTGGCCCACACATGTCTGCTGGGCGCCGTGCCTCGAGGAGAGGCAGGAGGCTTCCCAACATTCCCCAGCACCTCGGCGCTGGGGCCCTGCAGCTGCTCCCGCCAGCCCTGCGCCGTGCCCGCGTCACCCCAGGGCCACTGACCCCCGTGTGTCTCCACAGGGGAGGACATTGCACTGCGGAGGCTCTCGGAGCTGCAGGAGGGAGAGAAGTGCTGCGTGGTGGGGACGCTCTTCAAGGACATGCAGCTCCAGCCCTCCATCCTGCAGGAGATCAGCGAGGAGGTAATGGGCTCGCCCTCTCCTCCTCCACACAGCTCGGGGGGGCTGTGCCAGCACACCTGAGAGCTCACCATGGCTTCCTTGTGCTCGTTGTAGCCAGGGAACTGGCAGAGATTTGAGCAGGATGGCCTGGCCCTTGGTCACCTTGGTGCCAGCGTGTGTGGACACCTTCCACTAGCCCAGGTTGCTCCAAGCCCCATCCAGCCTGGCCTTGGACACTTCCAGGGATTCAGGGGCAGCTACAGCTGCTCTAGGCAACCTGTGCCAGGGCCTCACTACCCTCACATTCCTACCCCATGTCCAAACTAAACCCACCCTTTGTCCATCTGTTCTCCCTGCCTGCTTGCCACCACTCTTGCTCAGTGAGTGAAACCAGCCCACCCGGGGGGTTCCAGCTGCTGGGACCCCAGCTGGGCTGTTGGCTGTACTGGTGGTGGGGGGCTGGGGTTGGGAAGGGTCCCTGGGGGCTCCTGGTCCTTGCTGAGGCCATCAGAGCTGTCTCTGTGCCCTCACAGCACAACCTGGTGCCTCAGCCCCCCCTGCCCAAGTACATCCAGCCCTGTGACCAGCTGATGCTGGAGGATGAGCTGCAGCGGATCAAGCTGGACGGAGCCATCGATGTGCAGAGGCTGGTGACAGGTAAGGGACGGCTCTGGTGGCAGCCAGCCTGCAGGGCTGCCTGGGGCTGAGTGCCTGCTGTGCTGCAGGGACCATCGTGGCCGTGTATGGCTGCGAGCAGGACGATGGCAGGTTCCTGGTGGAGGATCACTGCTTCGCCGACCTGCCGCCCGCGCTGCCCTGGAGCGGGCCCAGCTCCGACCGGTGAGGCAGCAGCAGCAGCACAGCTGGGGCTGGCACTGTGTCCCTGCTGCATCCCTGAGCCCCTGCTGCCCAGGGGGCTGCCAGGGGGTCTGGGCCCCCTGCCCGGGCTCTCTGAAGCCCCTAAGTTTGGGAGTGTGGCAGAGTGCCTGAGCCTTTCCATCCATGCAGGTTCGTGCTGCTGGCCTCGGGGCTGGGGCTGGGCAGCGTCAGTGGGGAGGCCCTGCTGAGCACTCAGCTGCTGGTGGATGTGGTGACGGGGCAGCTGGGGGCAGAGGGCGAGCAGAGCTGTGCTGCCCACATCACCCGTGTCATTCTGGCTGGGAATCTGCTGAGCCAGAACACACAGAGCCGAGACACCATCAACAAGGTACGGCAAGGAGGGGGCTGCGGCCTCCCTTGGGGCATGGGGAGGGGCAGAGGGGGTGCGGGGCTGTCCCTCACTGTCTTCCTGCTTACCCAGGCCAAGTACTTGACCAAGAAGACACAGGCTGCAAGTGTGGAGGCTGTGAAGATGCTGGATGAGATCCTGCTGCAGCTCTGTGTGAGTGCTCGGGGTTGGCCATGGAATTGGGTGCCTCTGGGGGAGGGAGCCTTGTTCCTGAGGCAGGGTAGCAGTCTGGGGTGCAGGGTGGCAAAACCCCCTTCCCCAGCACCCAGCTTCCCTTCGAGCACCCCATATGGAGAGGCAGCTCCAAATCCTTCTCCTGGGATCCTCAGAGAAGCCAAGCGGGGTGTCCTGGGGAAAAGGAGCAGCAGTGACACCAGGGCTTTGCTCTGAGCCCTCTTGGAGGGCACTTTGGCCACCCAGTTGATCCCACTGTACCCACAGACCTCAGTGCCCGTGGATGTGATGCCTGGTGAGTTTGACCCCACCAACTACACGCTGCCGCAGCAGCCGCTGCACCGCTGCATGCTGCCCCTGGCCAGCGCCTACGCCACCCTGCGCCTCGTCACCAACCCCTACCAGGCCAGCCTGGACGGGGTCAGGTAAACAAACCTACCAGCTCTGCTGCCTGTCAGTGCCGTGGGACCAAGGGACACGTCCCGGCATGTCCAGCATCTGAAGCTGCTCTTCTTTCCTCCATAATGCAGGTTTTTAGGGACATCAGGACAAAACATCAGTGATATCTTCAAGTACAGCAGCATGGATGACTACCTGGAGATCCTGGAGTGGACACTGCTGGCAGGACACATCAGCCCCACGGCCCCAGACACCCTGGGTATGGTGAGGGCTGGGGGGTTGTTGAGTGGGGGGGTCTTTGCCAGGGGCTTCCCCTCTAATTCCCATCTTCCCCAGGCTGTTACCCGTTCTACAAATCTGACCCGTTTATCCTCACCGAGTGCCCTCACGTCTACTTCTGCGGCAATGCGCCCCGCTTCCAGTCCAAGCTGCTCCAAGGTGGGTCTCGCAGCACCCCCTGATCCTCCTGGGGCTGCTGGGGGGCTCCTCTGCCTGACACCCACCTGTGTTTGCAGGGAAGGAGGGGCAGCGGGTGCTGCTGCTGGCGGTGCCGGACTTCAGCGCCACGCAGACCGCCTGCCTCGTCAACCTGCGCGACCTCAGCTGCCAGCCCATCACCTTCTCCAGCTTCGGGGCTGACAGTGAGGATGGGGACATGGAAGTTGGACACTGACCACAGACTCCACAAGCCCCCACCCCTCAAGGGGTCCTGGCACCACCTGCATTTGTCTGTCCTCTGGGAGGTGACGGAGCTGGGGAAGCACTGGAGGGGCAAGATGTTCATACCAATATAACTTGATTTATTTGTGTAACAAAAACTGTATGGAGGGGAGAAAGGCTGTGCCCGCCTCCATGGGCCCTGCCCAGGAGAGCAGTACCACCCCTGCCACCCCACTGGGACACGGACAGTGGGCTGGCACTGCCCGGCTCCGAGGGATGGGGTAGCATGTCCCTGACAACACCCAGCTGTTGTGACAATGCCTGCAGTCCTTGGAAGCAGCAAGGTGAGGGGCTGGAGCCCACCTGGAACAGCTGCCTGGGCTCAGGGAAGGTGCTGGAAGCGGATGCCAAAGCGTCCGACCACAGCTTGAAGCAGAGTGAGGGGTCACGTGTCCCTAGTCCCCAAAGTTCACGGTGTAGGTTTCGGCCGTGGTGAGCGGCTGCGCCGTCCCCGTGTGCAACTCCCAGCCCTCCGTCTCTGTCACCAGCTCGGTGACCACCTCTGTCTCGGTGTCCATCTCCCAGGTGCCGGCAGTGGGCGGCTCCTGGCTCCAGGGCGTGTAGGCCGTGCTGCTGAAGGGGAAGGGCAGGGCCGTGGTGGGCGGCGGGGCCGTGGGGCCGCTGGTGGCTGTGGTGGCGTTGAGGCGCCGCAGCCGCATCTGCTCCCGCAGCCGCATGCGGTGCCGCAGCCGCAGCCGCAGGCGCTCGCGGGGCGTCATGGGCCGGCCGGGCACCACACGGCGGATCGGCCGGTTCCCGTTCATGGCCATGATCTCCCGGATGCGCTTCCAGTTGGAGCGGGACAGCACGAAGTTGCACTGGGTGGCCCCGATGTCGTAGAGCACGTGGCAAGTCTTGACGCTGGGGTTGTAGCCCTCGGCCCGCGCCGACACGCGGTACTCGCCCGGGTTCAGGATGCGCCAGTAGTCCCCGCCGCTGGCTGCGGGTACGGGGGCAGCAGGGTGGGTGGGGTGGGCACGGTGCTGCCGGTGCCCTGCAGCACCCCGCAGTACCTACCTGTCCTGACGTTGTGGTTGATGCCCCCCACCACAATGGTGGCGTTGGCAATGGGCTCTCCCTGCTGGTCTGTCACCACGCCCTTGATTCCTCGGTGGATCTGGGTGAGGGAGAGGGATGAGTGGAACGGTGTGGGACAGCTGGGGCAGCTGTGGTTGTGTCCCACTACACACCTGCTCCATGAAGGTGAGCAGAGACTCCTTGTTGTTCTCCCACTCCTGCTGCAGCTCGCTCTCGTGGGGGAACTTGTCACAGCCCAGGTAAATGGAGAGCTCCAGGCAGTTGGTGTGCAGGTAGCTGAAGTCATTCATACCTGCAAGAGCACAGACACACCCACCCAGCCCATTGCTCACCTGCCAGTGGCCAGGTTATGGGGCAGCCAGGCCCCTGGCCCCAACTTACTGCCAGCCCGGGGCCGCCACTTGGCGCCCTGCACGATGCCCATGGCGTCGGTCACGTCCTGCGTGTGGCAGCCCCCGCGGAAGGTCTCGGCCATGGTCAGGTGTGCCGAGGCGTAGGAGATGGCGAGCCAGCGGAACACGGCGTGGTCGGGCGTCTCCTGCAGCTCGGGGCGCTCATCCTCGTAGTCCAGCGGGCGAGGGGCGGCTGCCGGCGTTGGGGGGCTGGGCCGGGCCGTGTCGAAGGGGAAGGACACCAGCTTCTCCCCACCCTGCAGGTTGGCTCCCAGTACGAAAGGGTTCTTGTCCATCCACGCCATGACAGCCCGTGTCTCCACTGCCACCTGTGAGGCAAACACATGCATGAGGTGTCACCCCCCTGCCACCCTCTCGCCGCCCGTGTGCCCTGTGCCGCACTCACCGCCGCATCCTCGGACAGGTAGTGCTCCGGGATGGGGATGTGGTGGTTGGGGAACTGGTGGGGCACCAGCCGCCTCTCCTCGGCTGCCCACAGCGCTGAGGCCAGGTCGGGGAAGTTCTCAAAGAGGTCAAAGCCTTCCTCTGTCCAATGGCCCAATGCCCAGTTGCCCAGTTCAGAGCCCTGCGGGCAGCCCAGTACACTGGTGAGTCCAGAGGGGCTGCATCCCACCACCCATGTCCCACCCACTGCTCCTGGTGCCATCCCCTTCTCTGACACATCTCAGGTGCCCAGCTTGGAGCCCTCGGCCAGCCCAGGGCACTGGTGAGCTGTGATGGGGGGGCTTTGCCATCCCATCCCACTGCCCCACGGCCCCCTCACCGCCTCGTGGGCCAGCTCGTAGCCGTCGGGGTTGAGGGATGGCACGAGGTGGATGCGGGTGTCGGTGACCAGGCCCCGCACGCGGGGATTCCCGTCCTGGTACTCCTTGCACAGGAACTGCATCAGCAGCAGCAGCAGCTCCCGGCCCAGCGCCTCGTTGCCGTGCAGCCCCGCCGTGTACCGGAACTCGGGCTCACCTGGGGGGTCCAGGAGGGTCAGCAAACACCTGGCAGCACGGCCGGGGGTCCCAGTCCCTCACACCTCCCTCACCCGTCTCGTGCTCGCCCGGGTTGTCGGAGACCTCCATGGCGTAGATCTTCAGCCCCCGCGAGCTCTTGCCAATGTTGTAGATGCGGGTGATGGTGGGACACTCCTCATTCACCACCTTCATCAGCTGCAGGGTGGGGAGACATGGGGGCAGGGCTTGGGGGGACCAGCCCAGAGCTGCAGAGAATCCCACACCCATGGCATGGAGGGTCCCACCCTCCGAAGATGCCCACCACCATGGAAGTGCCCACAGCCACAGAGAATGCCATGCCCCAAAGATGTGCCCACCACCACAGAGGTGTCTGCTCCTCATGGAGGATCCCACCACCATGAAGGATCTCACAACCATGGGTGTCCCATCCCTACAGAGGATCCCACCCCCTGCTGGATCTGCCCCCCCAGCAGTGCCCACCTGCCTCATGTCCTTGTAGGAGTGGTGTCGGAAGTCCAGGTTGTCCGTGGAAGTCACCTCATTCTGCTGGGTGTAGTAGCTGCTGACAGCTGTGGAGGGGACAGGGACACAGCAGCGGGGGATGGCTGCAGAGGTCCCACCCCCGTGGCCCCCAGGCTGTTTTGGGGTGACTGTTACCAGAGAGGGGGCACCCCAGGACCTCAAGGCGCAGGCAGAGGCTCCCGTTCCAGCGCTGGGGGTAGATGCGGATGTACCGGGCCACCACCGGCTCCGGGAACTCGCTCAGCACCGGCGTGTCCTTGTCCACGTTTCCGTAAAACATCTGCCCAGGAGGGAGAGATGTACCCCAGAGGCTCCCTCCCCATGGCTGCCATGTCACCCGCCCAGAACGGTCCCCACCATCTCCTCGTAGCCGTTGCTGTACATCACCCAGTGCTGGCTGTCGTTGCTGAAGCCCACATAGAAGCTGGTGACAAAGTCGTCGCTGTGGGAGGACAGGGACAGGTTGGGACAGGGGTTCCCACACTGCTCCCCTGCTCCATGTCCCCAGCTGCAGCCCCAGGTCCCCGTACTGGATCTGGGAGTCGCGGCCCTGGGTGATGACCCCGGTGAACATGGTGACGCGGCGCGTGTCCACCTCCAGCCAGTGCGCGCGGCTGTCGTCCTCGGCACACCATGCCCCGTCGAAGAAATCGTCCTCGTTGGTGCCCGCCTGGGGAGCGGGGAGTGGGCGTGAGTGTCACCGTGACCCGTAGGGCAGGGGGTGTCACCGTGGCCGTGGGGCAGGGGCTGGGGGTGTCACCGTGACCCATGGGTGGGTGCTGGCGGTGTCACCGTGGCTGTGGGGCTGGGGGTGTAACCATGGGGCAGGGGCTGGGGGTGTCACTGTGGCCCTTGGGTGGGTGCTGGGGGTGTCACCGTGACCCATGGGGCAGGGGCTGGGGGTGTCACTGTGGCCCTTGGGTGGGTGCTGGGGTTGTCACCGTGGAGCAGGGGCTGGGGGTGTCAGTGTGACCCATGGGTGGGCACTGGGGTGTCACCACAGCCCGTGGGGCAGGGGCTGGGGGTGTCACCGTGGCCGTGGGACGTGACCCTCACCTGCATGTTGAGGCGGCCGCGCTGGGCGCCCAGCCCGTGGCGCAGCATGGAGGAGGCCAGGATCTGGTCATCCTCGATGCGGTGGGACTCCAGCCCGATCGGGGGACACCCTGGGGACAGCAGGGGGTGATGGACTTCAACCTCCCCAGCAGGGTGTCCCTGTCACCCCAGGAATGGGGACACTCACTTTTCTTCTCTGCTGGAGGGGTCCATTCCTCCTCATCTGGATCCCACTTCTTTCCTCCTGGTTTTTTGGGTTTTCCTGGCAAAGGAAAAGGCACAGTGAGGGGGGCAGGGACAGGGACAGGGACAGATGTGAAGGGACAGGAATGGGGGCTGGCACCCACCTTTGCGGTCCTGGCCCTTCTCCTCCACCCAGCGCTCCTCTTCCTCCTCTTCCTCTTTCTTGGGCTTTGCTGTTGGTGAGGTGACACCCACCCCAGGGAGGTGACACCAGTCCCAGGAGCATGCCACCCACCCCAAGAACGTGCCACAGATGCTAGGGGTGTGACACCCACCCCGGGAACATGCCACCTCCCTCACCATGCAGACGTGTCACTCACCCCAGGGACATGCCACCCACTCCACGGATGTGCCACCATCCCTGAAGACATGACAGCCGCCCTGGCGATGTGACATCCATTCCAGGGAGGTGACACTCACCATGCAGATGTGTCACCTATCTCAGGGACATGCCACTGACCATGGGACACGTGACCCACCCTGGTGATGTGCCACCCACTGTGGGGATTTGACACCTACCATGGGCATGGAACCCAACCCAGGGACATGCCACCCTCCCTGTGGCTCTGCCGTCGACCCTGGGGCACACTGCCCACCACGGGCACACCCCCCCATCCCCCTGGGCCCTGCCCACCCCCCCAGCCC